GAGGAAAGACCGTCCAAAGTCACCAAGAGGAATCGAGCGATGGTGAGTACTGAGCGAGAATGTGAACTGATCCCTGTGTAACAAACACAGGCTACCAACATCAGAAATAGTGATGGGCTCTGTCCTTCAGTGACAGGCTCATCAGGGCCATGGAATTAATGTCTGTTGGGACAATTCAGAGCTGGTACTTCCCACCCTTTGCCGCTACCAGAAAGTGCTCTGTATGTAGTGTGGAGAGCTCCTGTGTGAACGCTTCTCCAGAGAACACGAAGCGCTGCTTCTGTCGCATAGGCCGAATGCGGTTTGGCTCATAGCTTGGTCTTTGTTTCAAGACATTACCACACGTGAACAGCTACTTTTTCTAATAAGTTTGTTCTTTTATTGCTACTGTACAGTTACAAAAGTACCCTGAAGTGAAAACGCAACTTCAAACAGCAGTGGTTTGACTATACTATACATGTTTTAAATAATGCACAAAAGACGACAAGAATAATCCAAACACAGAGATGTCACCTTGGAGGTCTTATCTGATGTATTTTAACCTTTTATGTTTTATTAACACCTCCTCCACCATGGAAGCTTGCGAGTAACAACAGCGTTGGATGAGCCTCCGTGTGCATGCACAGAGCCCAGAGCTCTTGGGTGCTCGCAGGAGGCTGGGAGCATCTAGCGCGGCTCAGGACCAGGACCGAGGTGCTGATACTTGCTCCCTTCCTCGCACTGAGGGCTAAGCCAAGGCCATCTACTCCTTCCTAACAGTGAAAGCTAGAACAAACGCTGACTACTCAACCCTCATCTTTATAGCCCTTGAGGAAGCTTTCAGAGTAAATCTGCAGCTGCGTGAAACTGAGCAGTTTATCAGTGTCGTGCAGCGACTGTGCTCTCATTCTCATCAAACTGGCCCCTGTTGGAAAGCAGCTCTATGCAAAAGAAAAAGATATTGAACCTGCAAGCCTGCAGCAGCGTGTGGCTTTACGTCCCTGTTACAAGCTGGTAAATTTAAGACTCAGTCCATTGTGTGCGTAGGTTCTGACCCCCCTCCAGCATCGCTGCTTTCTAAACACAGTGACCTGTTCAGGTGAACTTCTCAAAAATTCTGTTTAAAAACTCTAAACAGACCCTGTTGAGAAAAGGTATTGCAGCATGTGCACTGCTGGCAGTGGAAATGGTTTGAAGTTCCGAGGTACAAATGGTGGACCTGCTGGAGCTAGATGCCTTCTTCTTAAATGACACCCAGCGCTGCTTTACAGAGCTCCTGCTGCCCAGAACGAAGGGCTTCCACCTTCTGCAAGTCCATTGGGTCTTAGTTCAATGGCCAGGGCATTTTTTGGCATATTGCATCCTTCTAGGGGTTGGTTGGTTGTTTTTCTTGTTGTTTTTCCGTAAGTTAAAATAGAAGGGTTAAAACCACACTCCTGCTAGCCTAGCACAGACAGGGAGACTTCTCAGGAACTAGTATGTTGGTGGATTTATAAAGACTATTTTATGTACTGTGAGCATTACTTGGAGCAGGGATCATGATCCACACTCTGAAATGATGAGTTGTGTAAAGAGTTTTGCGTACACAACCATCACCACTCCTGTTTTGGCTGGGTTTGAGCCTCCCGTTAAGGAACTCTGAATCCTGTGAGCTTTGGGCAGCAATAGCAGCGTATGAGGTACAAAGTTGCCCTAAAAAACTATTAAGACAGTTGTTACCGTCTGAAAACTTAAGTTGCTGTTTTACACTGAAAAAGCTTGTCTGATGAATTCGTCTTTTTCTCCTCCAAGCTTACAAGGATAGAAAAGAGCTAAAAATAGCCTGCATGCTTCATTCTGGTAACTTAAAAGCGGTCAAAAGGATGACTTTTGCTGCTTCTCCCTCCGTGCTTTGTTTGGGATTTATTTTTTCACACGTCAAACAACCTAGAGCAGCAAAGCAGACCTTGCTCCTGTTTCCATGGCATCCGTGTATCTGCACAGCGACACCAATCTTTTCAGACTGCTGTCCTACTCCACAGGACAAAGAAGCGCCCACCAGTCCCGACTCAGTCGTGCCTACTCTAACTTAACAAGGACGCTGGGGTTGCCACACTTTTCGGCTCACAATCACAACCGGCGCAAGCTCTAAAGCTCCGTTGCAAGCCAGACGGCCCGTGTCTGAATGGTCGATGAGAAATGGCAGTTTTCGGCATTAAAACAGGAAGGGCAAGTCTCGAACACCTGTTACAGTAGCCTTGAAATCACAGCATTAAAAGTTGTAGACGACACTACAAGCAACCGTATTCAGCAGTTTCGAGGTGACGAAGGAAATGACAATACTGATCGCTGGCAAACACTTCTGTCTCGTGCCTTCAGCTATACTCCAGAGATACAGAGCAATGAATGAGGGTCTCGGCTCTTCATAGATAAAAAAATTTGTCTTTAATCCTGGAAAAAGGAAACTGCGCTTTGAATCAGCAGAAGGACTTCTATGATGTATAAAGAGCTGGAATATTCAGAAAATTACGTTGAACAGGGAAGCTGTTTTTTGGATCGTGCCGGTTACGCAGAGATGCCTTACTTCATCGAGTAGCTGGGAGATCAAGAGAAGTCGGGTTCCGTAAGCAGTTCATCCCATCACCTTGAGCCGTTGATCAGAACGCAGCTGACACGCCGTGGACCTGGACAATGGTTAGGTAGCTATTCGAATAAGCTCAAGGCACTTTGTTTCTTAAATCATCGCCTTCGATAACAGTCGCTTCCCCTCAACCCCTTCTGGGGCTCCCCCGTTCAGAAACGCCTGCTGTGAAATGTGTGGGATTAAGCATCTCCCTTTGAAGAGTTACACACACGTCACCCTATGGAAAAGGGCCTCGGGAACTGTCTGCAGCGTCTGTTTCAGAGCTGTGGTGCTGACAAAATTACTACCTGACAGAACAAATGCTTCTCTAATACAGATACACTTTGGACTGCGCCGCATTAGCAGACCAGCTTTGGGTAGCGAAATTTTGGTACAAAACACAGCTCCCAGGGGGAGCCAGCCATCGCCATAGAGGGAGGGGAAAGTTAAAGGGCCTGTGGTGGGTTATTTGCATAACGGACAGGAGGTGCAACGTAGATCTCGTTAGAGGAACTTTGTCGGGTTTTGTCCTTCTTCTGCTCTCTTAATCACTCTTCAGCCTTCAACTCCAAGCTTTGGTGCTGCACCCTGGAGGGAACTCGCTCGTAGAACAGCAAGTAAGCGCTAGAAGAAAGGACCTCCTGCAGGCTGGCTTTGCGAACCGTGTCGTCGGAAATCCACAGCCACTGACTGCTGACAGCGAGGGGGTTCTTGGGAGAAGGTGGGGAGCGGCGGTAAGTCACAAAGTGTCCAGAATGCATGTCTCCGTGATGAACGACCACGGCCATCAGGCGGTAAAGGTACACGGGGGAACTGAGGGACAAACGAGAAAAAGGACAGGGTCAGCAGCCCTCGGGGATCACGCACGTACCAGAAGCAGCCCCACTTGCTTTGGCCTCAGCTGCAGTTTCTTTTCAGAGCAAATAGATGGCTCCGTAAGAGACATGCTGCCTTGCAATTACTTTTCAGCATAGCAAGTCCTCCCCGCAGCACTGCCTTATTCTAATATTGAGAAAACCAAACCATTCACTTTAGAAGTTTACGCTAGAGGGCTGCCATGTTTTGTGCAGTGTGACTGACTGAATTTTGCAAAGTGTTTTCCATCAAACCTACCAATGCGCCAGCATTTAGTTCTTAAAGTGCTGTTATTGGACAGAAAAGCTGTTCTAGAATGTGCTTTTAACTGAAAAGAGGTAAAATTGCAGCAGGTAACCGACAGGTAACAGCGGACATTTTTTTTTCAAACACTTGCTCTACAACTGTCTTTGTAACAAACATTTGGCACAAAATGCTTCCAGGCTTCTCATTTCCCACACTGATTGTGAGAATTGTCTTCCTCATGGGGAAAATACAGACTGGCAGAGAGAACAAGTGGTGTAGAACTAACTACATTGGTCACCAGCATGAAAATGAGTGAATGTTCTCAAAGGCCAAGACGACACATGATCAGGGACCATGAAGGCTGATTTACTAAGTAGACCCATGGCAGCTGCAACTTAAATCAAGCTTGTTAAATATAATGCCTCAAAAAAGTCTGTAAGAGATCTACGGATTTCTTGCAATAGTGTTAAAATCAGAGTAAGAGGGGAAAAATGAAAGGAAGAAAACA